TCGTACCGGTGCAAATGGGCCGAGAGCAGGACGAGGGTGTTGTGACAGGGGTCGGACGGCCTCGCGAAGCTCATGACGCTCCTCAGGAGCCAGTCGGAGCACGTGGAGTGGATGAATCCGTGCATGAAGATACAGATCGAGCTGGAGGCCATCTTGAAGGGCACGGCCTTCATACTGATGATGCACGTGATATAGGAATCGTGAGGGATGACGAAACAGCGAGTGACGGAGACCCAGTGAGTTATCCAGAGGCAGACAGTGTCGAGGCACATCTGAATGACAGTGATCAAGAGGCTGGAAGTCTTAGTGGCGGGTGGTAGTACGTAGATACGGCCTTCAGCTCGCACATCACGGGGAATTTCGCTGGGTTCGTGTCTTACACGGCAGACTCGGAGAAATTGCAACATATACGAGGGGTTACCCTACAATTGCTTTCCGAATAGAAGGAATGGGAACAGTGGCGTTTACGACAGAAGTTAACGGAGAACAAGTTGTGAGCTATCTCGATGGAATCTTGTACATTCCTGATGCTGAGTATGGATTGTTTTCTCTGGGTTTGGTCTTAGAGCAGGGTTTTACTCTTGAACTCGACAATGAAACCAGGAATTTTAACATCTTGAGAGAAGGAAGAACAGTGGCTGTTGCAACGCCACACGAAGCCACTAGGGGATTCCAGGTAGCAGGTTCAACTCAACAGACAAGAGTAATTCCTGAAGAAGCATCACTGTGCAACCACACCATGGCTCAAAAGGTTGGTTCGTTGCAGCTCTGACATGAGAGATTGTGTCATATCTGTCCACAGTACCTAAAGATTATGGCTGACAAAGCGTTAGTGCAGGGAATGATGTAAACACAGCGGTAGCAAGGCACATGTGATGCTTGTCGCATTGAAAACAGAAGATGAGACCACACCGAAAGAAGCTGGACCGATGACTGGAGAAACCTAACCACATAGTGTACGCGGACCTTTTGGTTCCGGGCAAGTACAATGCGACTCAATACGAGGCTGTTTTGGTGATAATAGATGGCTATTCTCGGTTTGTCACTGTGCATCTGCTGAGGAACAAGGCCATCAAGGTGGTGAGCAAATACATGCAGGAGTATGTATTGTGGGCGGAACTGTGAAGTGTGAGGAAGAGCCAGGACTGCGTCCAGCTCAAACCTGAGGCTCAGGTGCCTCCAGGACGCGATGCTCGCGTCCAGAAGCCGGACTTCGACGGACCATTGGCTGGCGAGCCGCCAGCCCCATCCTACTGCTAATCCTACCAATATATGTTACCGGGGTTTTTCCGTGTGCTGCTACACACTCGACAACTTGCGCCGTCAAGAGCAAGCAGCAGCACTCGGTTTTCTCCCCTGCTGGAATTTCTAGTCCCTGGGAAATTTAAAGTTGTTTAAAAAAATAATCTCTCTCCCCCAAAGGGGGGAAACTTTTTTTTTTTATACATATATAAAAAACCTCTTTCTGGTTTAGAGCCCCAAAAAGAGAGCTGGAAGCCCAGTCCGGAGTACGCAGAGCTCGCGCGCGTCCGACGAGTTGCAGTTGCCTGCAAGAGCAGACGAGACAACGTCAGACGAGGCACATGCGACGTCACAAGCGTCATCAACCCGAGTTGAGCAACAACTCGAGCTCTTATTGGCCCAATTCGGTACCGTTATGACTACACTGACAAATCAGCAGCAAGTGCAGAACATTCCAGTGGAAGCATCCACCCGACGCCCACAAAGGCAGCTCATTCAAGAACTCTCAGCGGCTCGAGCACAGCCGCAGCGAGTGCTGACGCCGTACGGGCCCCGCCGAGGAAACCCAAGCACAGAGGAACTTACCGCCGGCGCCAGCACGCGTCAGAGCGAGCCGCCAAGAAACCCAAGAACGTCCGAGGCTGCAGCGCAGCCAGTCCAGACCGAGGCCGGGACCGACTCCGCTACGGACGAACCCATGGTTGGAGACCACAGATGCACGCGGTGCATGAACCAGAGCGGACACGTGCAGTTGAACGCAAGACTTACCGATACCAACTACCAGACGTGGCGCGTCGAGATTTGTTCCATTCTCGACGTCGCACACCTCTTGGACCCCATCATGGAGCGCGAAACGATGGCAGACCAACGTAACGAAGGACAGCGCGGCTGTTTCAAGCAACGACTGCGTGTTGCTCAACGTGAACTTACGATGGGACTTAGTCAAGAACTACAGATGCGATTTACAAGTGTTATTCAACGTGCTGATCCTATCCTACTGTGGCGAACACTGGAAGATCATTTTGATAACCATCCTGGAGTAAACAGCGTGTTTCTCAAGCGAGATATGCTGAATCGTCGCCTGCAACGTGACGAAAGACTTGACGATTACATTCGTGACATCGACGACTACCAACAGAGACTTCGCCGCGCGAACAAGCAGCTGCCTGAGCAGGAAGCCGTCTCTATCCTATTGTCGAATACAGTGGGTGTGTACCCACCTCCTCGGCGGCCATTTCCCGCAGCATACGAACTGACCTTGACGTCCCACCGCAGCACAGGGCACCAGCAAGCACACACAGCACACACGCCGAGCGCAGCCAAAAAAGCCGCTGCCACAGCACACGCACGCACACACTCGCCAATGAAATATACCACGGATTATAGACACTGGAAACGATTCGGTTCCCTTTCAGCAGTTTCAGGTACTCTTTAACTCTCTTTTCAAAGTTCTTTTCATCTTTCCCTCACGGTACTTGTTCGCTATCGGTCTCGCACCAATATTTAGCTTTAGATGGAATTTACCACCTACTTTGCGCTGCATTCCC